CGCCTTCGGCATCCACATCTCACACACGCCACCCTTTGCTCCTGTCTGTCCTCCCTCACATACGAGAAGGGCGCAAGCGAGAGCTGCTTGAAGAAGCTGCTTGGTGTGCGAAACGAATTCTCTTTCTCTCTCTCCCCCCCCCCTTTCTCCATATCTCTCTCTCTCTCTCTCTCACTTCCTCTTTCCGTCTTTCGCTTTCCGTAACGGCAAGGCTGCCGGAGGCAGACGTCACCCACGCGACTCGCTTCGCGAAATAAGCGAACTGGCGTTTGTGTGGCTGTGTTTCCGCCAGAGTGGTATCGTTGATTGTCGAGCTAATTCCTCGGTGTGCACAGTCAGATGAATCAGTCGATTCTCTGAAGCATAGATTTTGCACGCGCGAAAAAGAATAGTTGACATTGCACAAAGTATTTCTTATATATTTCCTAGTAGAATACGAAAAAAATATTTCTACCGCTTTTATAAACGTTCTCTGGGTTTGATGCGAGATATCGTGTTCCTACAGAATATTTATAGTTATAGCGCAACATGTTTTCGTGCTACCATGCTTCGAAGTTACTCGGAAACGATCATTTCATGAACGAATCTACTTTTTCATGTGTTTTTTTCATCTTTTCTAAATATTCCCTCGTATATAAACGTAAAAACCTATATTTTTTTAGTTTTAATTAATTTCAGTAATAGAGATACGTGTTAATAAGAACGAAAAGATAAATTTTTCAAACAATATTTAAAACAATGCTCTTCTAGTCTACTTAAAAAAAAATTCGTAGCGTTTAACGTTGCTTGAATCTCACTGAGTTAACACCTGGAATTCTTTCTTACTTTTAATACTTTCAATCATTTTAAAATTTAAATTGTTCATATCTGTTCTACACTTTCTGAGAAATTGGGTGCTACGCTCCAAGGAGTATAAACGAGCGGGGAAACCATTAGCGAGCGAGATATCCGTATACTATGACCATATGGCCTCGTCGCGTTACATTTATTATAAGCCCACAAATTCACATACACTCGAATAATCGAAGTCAGAAAATTGAGGTCCTTCCGTTCGAAACGGCCGTCCGAATCCGGGTCGAACGCTGGAATATTTCACATCTAATCGTCTCGGTGGTTGCGATTTTAAGGATTTACGAAAGCGCTTGATATAAAATTCAAGCTCACCTAAATTTTAGCACCTTTAGAGTCCTATATAAACCGGAAATCTTCACATTCTGATACTTTATATCACATCGAAATCATCAAGAAACGATATGCAGCAAAATTTTATTTCCACCGATCGAAATCCAGATTCTCGTTATAATATTTTCCTCTCACAATCCTGTGAAGAGAAAAATTTTGAACTTTGTTTTTCACGCGCTAAGTACATATTTGTCGACAAACTTCAGGCATCGATCGGATTTTTATTCTGATTTCCACGTCTCATACGAACGATAAAATACCGGTACGTTATGTCCCGCTATTATAATCCATTCGCCGATCGATCGAGGTCCTTCATCGCCAGCGGTGAAGCTGTCCGCTCGCGCGCGAGTGTGTCACGCGTAAGGATCGCAAACTCACGAAAGATTCAAATCGCCGAACGTCGACCAAAACGTGAGCAAGAGCGTGCCGGTAAATTGCCTCGTTATCGTCGCCATCGCTATTATTTACGACCCTTAACGAGGGAAACCTCATACTCTCCACGACCGTCAGACTCGCGTGAGGTACTCGTCTACACGGACGCCAGGCCACTTCCTCCATTTTCCGGCTCTTTCACTTTTTCGCATCTCCTAGTCCCATTTCATATCTCTCTCTCTCTCTCTCTCTCTCTCTCTCTCTCTCTCTCTTTCACCGACATTTCGCCCATGATTTACCTGTCACCCGATTGAAACATCGCTCCGATTAATTAAAACCGAGCTGAGAATACATCAATTCAACCAGCTCGTTAAACTACAGACCTGCGTTCCCCCGCGTGCACAAAACCGTCGCTTCAGCCGCAACGGACACGATCGGTTAGACGACAACATTGACAAAGTTTGGAAATGCCCGCAGCCGACACTGACAAAGCCAGGAAATTACCGTTTTTGTGCGAATCCCACTTGACACTTGAGATTTTGCGGTATTTGGAAAAACCCGAGTGATCTTCATTCCTTTCTCTTTCTCTTTTTCCCTCTCTTTCTCTTTCTCTCTCTCTCTCTCTCTCTCTCTCTCTCTCTCTCTCTCTCTCTCTCGGAATTAATTCTCACTAATTGAAGAATAATTCAGGATTGTTAAAGAGTAATGCAGTATTACACACTGCGTGATACACATATTTGATTAATGTACATTGTGGGGTTGCATTTGTTATGTGTTAATGAACACGAGTCCATCCGCGCTGCACCTAGCCGAATATAATTGAATCAAATCAAGAGATGGAATCGCTCCCATTCAATTCGCGAGTTCTATATATGGTACAACGAACAAATTGCGGTATTAGCGATCGCACTGTAGGGGCTTATAAAAAGCCCCAGCAATGAATAGCGAAATTTACGAAAATTGAAGACCCTTTCTTACATCATATATTGTAGGTATGTGTATACCAGTGTTCCATGCGTCCAGCAGATTAATCATAGGAAACACAACGGCGCACGTAATAGAAATGACGTCTCGAGGGTAGCTACCCCAAAATGATAAAGGGGCGAGAGCCTTTCGCCGGACGTAAAGTCCAGATCCAGGTGGCTTGGCGAAATTGAAAAGTGCATGAGTTTTCTCGAGCAAGAGTGCAACGTGCAGCGCGGGGATAGCATCCGGATACGCCGGAGACGGGAGAGCAACTCGCGCGGTAACCCTGAATTACGAGAGAGCGAGACCGCTTAACCGAGGGGGAAAAATAAAACTGCAGGGAGAACGGAAATGAAATTGGCTACTCCCAGTTCTCCCGCTAAGGAAGCGCCGTTAATTAGCCAGCTGTATTCAGGGAGTCGTAAACCGGCAGGGCGAAGTTAGGTGGAATAAAGTCGTGGAGGAAAAGATCTCGCTCTTTTTTTTTCCTCTTCCTTTTACTTCTCCTTCTTCTTTCTCTCTTCGTGCCGACGATGGCCGTCCCAATTTCCGCGGCGACGTTTTCGATCGATTTCGCGGTCGTTTCACGGCGGTCAGATTAATGAATCGAATTTTCAACTCGACGCTAGGCTTTTATCCACGACGAGACAAAGTAAAGTCTTAAAACGCGCAGCCTCAGAATAGATCCTCGTTACGGCGACGCCTTTTCGCGCGGGAACTTCGTAAAACGCGATTATACCATGCCGAGCCGCGCCGGTGCGTTCGCCTACTTTAATCCGATATTATGTTAATCCGATACTTGGACGTAAAGTATTACCCGCGCGACGTTTCGCATAAACGCACGAATGCACTAAATATCGTGCAAAAATAAGAAAACGTTGTAATGGGCGTCAAGAGCACGGTAGGGACAGAAGCTTTCGCAACTCGCTGCAAATTACGTCGTGCGCGTCCGCCTGCAGCTAATTATTATTAAAACGATTGTTGAAACGACATACGCGCAACTCTCCTGTGAATTTTCAAATGAAATTTTAGAATTTTAAAGTATCTCGTGTCGCGTCCATTAATTATCTGCGCGCGTATGTATGACGATAAATTCAATACACAGACGTGGCAATAATTTAAAATAATGAAGAAATATAGACGTTATTATTCTACCGAGATAGAGAATCTCGTCTTCGCTGGATTGTCTGTAGACCGCAACAATTACTGCGCCTGTAATAAATCGTTAGCAGTTAAGGATTTCAAGCAGCGATTGCAAGGAAGCTGCACTCGCGCGCGATAAAATTCATCTCTGAGGCGCGACTGTCGCGCGGTTCGTGGGAACGAAGATGGTCATCATTTCTGGTGTATCTGGAAGTGACAGCTGTTTTAGGATAACCACGCTGTGAGAAATACAATAACGAAACCGACATTCGCCGTAACGAATAGCCCCGAGTGCGCCGCAATATCGTAACGAGGTTACACTATAAAGGATAACAACCGGAAATATATCTGGAAATACGGAAAATTGTATAGACGACGACGTGTATAGATAAACCGACGGAGTCTGGAATAGTTAAATAACAAGTTTTGATAAGCTTTTGCACAGGCGTTAATAATACCTACGCGGTACAAGCAAACGAGTCGACTCCATCAGTCAAATTTAATCACTCAGCCTTCTAAACAAATCCCGAAACTATCCTTTAATACTCTAGATTTTTAATTACTTATACTATTTAAAAAATGAAATGTACTCTAGCTTTCTACTATATTTTTTCGTTGCAATTTTTTAAATAATAAATTTTTTAAATAATTTGAGAAAATCTATTTAGACTTTCAAGTTGATAGTGATGATGTGAATAGTGCA